CTAAGACTGAAGAGATTAGAAAACTGACAAAAGAGAAGATCGAGGAGAAGGTGGAACAAGCGAAACCATGGACCGAAGAGAAGATCACGTTGAAAAAATCGAAACCTATAAGGAAGGAAGTTGAGAAAGAGACTATAGAGACTGTGGAACTGAGACCATCGAAAACAGAAAAGCTTCCAGTTCGAAAGCCAAGTTTAGAGAAGGTGGACTTGAAGCCTGTTCCGACGACAATGACCGAGACAGTTACCGAGAAAATCACCGAAAAGACCGAGTACCTCGAACAGGAAGACACATCTTTATTAGACGTGTCGAAGACCGAAGAAGTGAAGAAATTGAGGAAAGAAAAGATAGAAGAGAAGCCAGAGGGACCTAAACCTTGGACCGAAGAAAAGGTCACATTAAAGAGAGCGAAACCTGTGAGGAAAGAGGTTGAGAAGGAAACGATAGAAACAGTGGAGCTGAAACCATCGAAGACTGTAAAATCTGAGATTCGAAAAGAGAGTCTAGAAACGGTGGATCTTAAATCCGTCGTGAAAGAAACTACGGAAGAGATGACGAAAGACGTGATACAGAAGACTGACTATGTGGAACAAGAAGATACAACATTACTCGATGTTACCAAGGACACTCGAGTGAAGAAAACCAGAAAAGAGTCGATTTCGGTGGAGAAGGTTGAACAACCTAAACCTTGGACTGAAGAGAAGATTACTTTAAAGAAGACCAAGGTCGAGCAAAAGGAAATTCGTAGAGAGAGCTTGGAAGAAGTTACTCTGAAACCGACTAAGACAGAGAAGAGGGAAATTAGGAAAGAAACATTGGAGAAAGTGGACTTACAAAAGGTGACAGACAAGATCCAATTCGTAGAGGAAGAGGATACGAAATTATTAAAGATAGACAAAGAAGAGAAGGTCGAAGAAGAGAAGGAAGAAAAGGTCGCAACTTGGAGAAGAGAAAGAAAACCAAAGGAGAAGGCGCCGTATCAGGAAGAAGAGGATAAAACGATCTTGGACGTGAAGAAAGACGTCGAAACTGAGGAGAAACCGAAAGAAATGCCGGTTCCTTGGGCCAGAGGTAAAAAGAAACCTACGGAAAAGATTCCATACCATGAAGAAGAGGACACCACTCTTCTTGACGTAGCAAAGACTGAGAAGACGACTGAAGAACGGGCGAAAGAAGAAGTGCCGGTACCATGGCTACGAGGGAAGAAGCGAAAGGAAGAGAAGCCAGAGATTCCACAAGAAATTCAACCTGAAGAGATACCAGAGCAAGAAGAAGAAAAATTGGAAAAAGTTCCATGGCTTAGAGACAAAAAGATTCCACGGAAGATACCGGAAAAGAAAGAAGAACAGATTGAAGATATTCGATCGGTTGTACTAAAGCCTGCCAGGCGTGAACGTGTACCGGAAGAAAAAGAGAAACCAGAAGAGGTAACGCTGAAGCCTGTTAAACGCATTCCACGTGAAGAAGAAGAGAAGGAGGATGTGCAACTAAAACCCATTCCGAAACGCAAACCCGAGGAAAAACCGAAGGAAGAAACCAAATTGAAGCCATTCCAGGCAGCGAAACCTGAAGAGCCAGAGGAGACGAAGGTGCAGTTGAAACCGTTCGAACGAGAGAAACCAAAAGAAAAAGTTGCTGAAAAACAGGTGGAGGAAGAGATTAAAGAAGTTGAAGAAGTGACATGGCGTAAAAAAGCGAAACCGAAGAAACCGGTGCTTCCTGAGGAAAAAGTTGTAGAAAAGGAGGAAGAAAAAGTCATTCAGAAAGTAACTAAGAAAGAGAAGATTGTAGAAGAAAAGGTGACCAAGAAAGAGGAAGAGACTTTGGAGGACTTCAAGTCTATAGCTTTGAAACCAGTTAAACGAGACAAGAAGTCTGAAGAACGAGAAGATAAAGAAGAAATCACGTTGAAACCAGTCAAACGTCTTCCAAAAGAAGAAGAAGAAACTGCAGAAGAGATTAAATTGAAGCCGGTAGAAAAACCGAAACCGAAGGAAAAAGTTGAAGAGAAGGAAGTGAAACCCTTGAAACCAGAAGTGACTCCAGCTCCTGAGAAAGAAAAGCCAAGTGAAGAGGCGCCTGAATTGCCATGGCGACGAGTTAAAAAGAAACCTGTTGAAGA